AAGTAACTGCTCCTATCCTGATAAAATAAAATGAACAGCTCTGCAAAATCCCACAAAGTGCCATATTAGATCTATTACATGAATTTAAATGGAGACCATTGTCAAAGTTATTGGTCTTTCTTTGCCTTTCATTGAATGAAGCATGGCAGAGTTTAATCTATAAACTGGTTTTCAGAAAATTCTGCAGTCACTACAGGATTTTATCATTAAACATACAGGCTACAATTAGCAATATGCTTTACAGAATCTCCTGTCCAGTATTAAAAGTGACTGAAGAAAAGTACAATATTGAGTCTTACTCTTCAAAGAAATTTAGAATCAGAAGCTGAATGGTATGTGTGTGTGTGTGTGTGTGTGTGTGTGTGTGCGCGCGCACACGCGCGTTTGCTGGCATAAAAGATTAGATATTCACCAATGTCAAAGGATTATAAAAAGGTATATTTTGATGTGTCTTGAGAAAATTCTAAAAGTAGCTATCCAACAGTCAAATTCCATTACATGAGAAAACAATGAACCATCCAAAATACTAGAATAAGAATTTGTGCATGGATAAAAGCACACTTTGGCAACATTGTAATCAATTTTATGATTGAGTAATTTTACAACATCGTCATACATTTTAGTGCAGTATGAAAAGAAGATGTTTGTCATGATGGATCTTGTCAACTTGACTGTCTTCACACATGTCTAGGGGATTAGTAAAGCACACTTTTGTATATGTCTAGGTGGATCATGGGCATTAGCATCAGAACTGTATCTGGTTTCTGTTCCCTTCTTCTTAGACTCAAGTATTTGTTCTATTTCTTTGCTGCCATGAAGTAACCAAGTTTTCTTTGCTATGGCTTTTAGGCATGATGTTTCTGCATTGGAGTCAGCCATGGACTAAAAACATTCTCGAAAATATACCTTTTATCCTTTAAATTGTGCATATCAGGTATTTTGGTCATGGCAACAAAAAGCTAATGCAGTCTGAAAATGAATACCTGGTCTGAAAAGGAGTGACAATAAAATACCAGTAGGCTGGGCACCAGAGGTATGTGGCAGTGGATCATCACCCATATCTTTTACATATTACAGCTATGATACAACAAAAAATGGTGCACATAATAGCTATACAATTATTATTTACCCTTGAAGTATACACTCTAATAGTTTTTCCATTGATTGAGAAAATGTTACACATTGAATTGGTTTAATGTGTGCAAATCATTTATTATAAAAAGAATATAGACTTATACCAGTTATATATTTATTCTTTTCCCACTCATCAATCCTATTCTGACAATTAAAATCATCATTATTCCTCCCATAAGAAATGACTGAAAACAAACAAGACATTTGGGAACTATTATGTCAAAATATCTGGATGAAATCACAAAACAAAAGAAAAATTTGACAACACAAAATACTGGTTTACAGACTAACTTCTGTTTGCCCCATTGTGATACATCATAGATTTATAACATTAGCTTTAAATATAAGAAGTGCTAAATTGCTCTTCCTGTTGTGGTATCGACACAGTAAGATGTTCTTTTTGTTCTATTAGTTTGCCTGCCACTTAAAAATTCAATTCTTAGAGGATTTCCTGTAACTTATGATGGTTACCTGTCATCTCTAAACCAATGAGCCTGTTGCCACCATGTGAGTCAGCGAATTTCAACCTAACCTCTGACAGCTAATTGGTAAACACAACAATGAGAAGATTTGAAATGTTAAATTAGATCTTGAATTACCTTCAACCTCATTAGCACATCATATTGTTGAGCAGTGATTTCAGTAAATGAGAATTCTAAGTAGAATGAAACACAAAAGACTAGAATAAAAAAATACTAATCATACAGATTATCCAACATAGGCACTTAAATTACTACTCCCGTTTTATAGTTATTATCATACCTCTATAATCCATGTCCCTTTACAAGGCTATTCAAGCTATAACACATGACAGGCAGTGCATTGCTTTGCTATTTATAAGGTGCCTTGGGTCATGTTATATGGCATAAGACTAAAGGCAAAATGACTTAAACCACCCAAGAAGTGCAATAATCCCTAACAAATGCACAGCCTGGAGTATCTTATTGCTGTTATGAAATGAAATTCATACATTAAACTAAGAAGAATTGTCAGACTCAGAGCACTTATTGGGAATCATAAACATGTCTGTCTATTCATTGATGCATTTCCCCAGCCTATAGGAAGTGATTGCTCTAGTCCTACAGATTACCTGCTGTTTCTAAGACAAAAACTACATCAATCTTGGTTTCAGATTTCTCTGGACATCACAACGAGACACATTTTACCATGTCATTTTAACTGGTGGTTTTCTTTCCCTGATATTTTCCTGGTTTCCAGGACTTTTGATTTTAGTAAAGATTCATGTGAGCCAGAGAAAAACCATGAAAAAAAAAATGTATTTTCAGGTTATACTCCAACTGGACAGGGGATAGAATGTAGTTACATCACCTGTTTAGATCATAGTAAATTGAGAGCAATGAAGAACAGAAACATGTCAGGTCCTACATAGGTGCTTAGCGGGAGACCATCAGCCGTCAAAGAGAGCTGACTTCACTTAAATCCCATGCTTAACGACTTTGAAAAAGGAGAAAAACTCACACTATCAAAAATACTAAGCAATACTTAAAAAACAACAAAGTGTGGTAAGCACTGCAGAAGACAGAAAAATAATTTGAATCCAATTAATGAGGTCAGAAATGTCAGCAAAAAAATCAGCTTAAATGCAGCTAGATAAGGTGTAGACAGATACATTAATAGAAAATAAGATGCAAGCTATATTTATGCTAAAATCATCTGGAAAATACCCAAACGCAAATATCCCCTACAAAGTAGCACTGAACATTTAGTTGTACTGATTGTTCTCCCCCCTTTGGGGGCTCTTAGTGCTATAATCTAAAATTATATGTTTCTGTTTTTAGTAATCAGTGATTCATCTGTAGCCTTTATGGTAGTGGTTATGTGTTTTTGGTGAGCACCATTGGTGACAGGTATATTATTCTGATTGTTAAGTCTCAGTGTCAAAGCTATATACATGCTACAAAGAAAATAAAGCCATTGTTCCTGGAAAATAATATTTACATATAGAAACATTGTACATATTATGCATAATAAAACCCAGCTTCAAAAAACAAGAAACAAAAATGTATATGGGTGAAAAATGAATATATGACACATATGGGCTTGTACTATAAGCAAAGTGATTCAGTTTTTCAGTTTTTTTTAAATTCATGTTCTCCTTTACGTGTGGGTATGAGAGAGAGAAAGAGACAGGGGGGAAGAGGGAGAGAGAGGGAGGGAGAGGGAGAGAGGATGTAGTGTGTATACAAAGGAATTTACTTTGAGCATCATTTAAACAGCAATTCCTTTAAGCTACTGCATGTAATAATTTTCCCAGCCACATTAAACACATGTCCATACCACTCCAAAATCACCTAGAAAATAATTATGCACTAACTTTGTAGCCTTTGCACCAAAGGAAAAGTATAAATGTTACAGGATGAACTCTGAGTTATGGTTTTATGTAGTCAGCTAGTGAGCAGGGACTAGAGACTCGGAGACAGGCTCTCACAAGTCTACATCAGGTCCCACAGGTCTACACTAGAATAGATATTCTTATCCCACCAAGAAGGCAGCATAGATGCTCATGCATAGAGATACATTGATTTTATAGTCAACAAAGAGTAAAAGGCTCTGTCCTAAAACATTGTTTTGAGGTTCAAGGAGACAAATGGGATGGTAGAGACCAAAAATTGCAGCCTGAAATAACTAGTGGCTTATGCAAAAGAAGTATCAGAAACTGAATGTGTAAATGAGGTCAAAATGAACGATAGATATGTGAATAGGAAGAAAAGGCCTAAAGGGGAAGGGGAAGTAGGGAGTGGTGGGTGGAGGAAAGGAAAGAAGGGAAAGACAAGAAAATGAGAAAAGAAGGCAAAACGGAAGCCAAGTTTGTAAATAGGGAGGGGTGGAGTAGTGGAAGGGAGGGAAGGAGATTGGGAAAGAACAAGAACCAAGATGTGTCGCGTCCGGGTACAAATTCCCAAGATGAATGTGATCTGATCGTATCTTATCGTATACACAAAATGTACCAATAAACTCAATGACTAAAGGAAAGGAAGGATCAAAATTCTACTTGCCGAAGTGGGAAGCCATCAACCCATATCCCTTGTTTTATACATGAGGAGAGGTAAGCCCTGAGTCCAGAGGCAACAAGGCAGTGGGGTTTTAGAACTCCTAACTTTCTACCCGTCTCTCCTTAGGAGAATCTTATCTGCACTCCTTCACTTGGTGAAGCCATCCTCCCCAGCCCATTCATTCCTAAGGAGTACCGCTGCTACGAGTAAAATCAATAGTGGCCAGGTGAGAGAGAACCAGGCTAGAATTTGGTGACTTTAAAGCTGTCTCCAAATTGCACTAAACCTTTGATTTATAATTATATGTCACTCATTATTGACCTAAGTCTATCACCCATTTGAAGTCTTACGAGTGTCAGTATTTCTGAGTGAACATTCTGTGAGAGTTTTTATGAGGTGTGATCAAAAATATAGTGAAAGCTGCTTGCACTTGCCTCCAAGTGAGATTCATAAAAACAGAACAGAGTGCCCTCTTCTCCCTGTTCACTGAATCTGGCACTATGAACCTTCTGGGTCCTCCTCAAAACTAAAAAGACCACAAGAGATAAACATTTGGTATCTAATTAGGATATGGAGGTAACCAAAAAAATATACTTAAAGCTACAAAATAGGTCTTCCAGAACTGCTTAGAAAGTGGTAAGAATGACTAAGGGTGTTCAAAGTGAGGGAGGGTTTTTTTAGGTGAGCTAATGGCAATACGCCTTTCACTGTAATAATATTTTAACTTTAAACTTTCACCATATTTTTTATTACACTACAGACTTATAGGACTTTCTAAATGACTTAATAGAGTGTCAGAATAGCACCCACCACAGGTACATACCACGTAGCCAAGAGATGATCGATGCTTAATTAAAGTTGAGTGCATTTTCTGCAATTACTTTTTTTTTTTTTTCAGGACACCATAAGCCTCAGGAAGGTGCTTCAGTATTGGCTGTTCTTGTATAAAAACTATTATGCTCATTGCTAAACTGGGATTTCACACTTTTATCTTATTGGAGTACATTTTCTAGGGATAGTGAAAGAATCAAAAAGGAGAAAATACATATCAGAGCAAGGCAAATAATTGAAAATTAAATCATACGCCTTTGTAAAAATTGTCCATTTCAACAACACCTACATATTCTTTTGTATATTATTTTTTGTCTGCTTTCTATTTTCCCCAGCATCTAAGAGGTAAAAATTATACTTTTCTTTCTCTTTTTTTTCTGTTTTCCGCATGAGAATATAATCAACAGATTTGAATATTTATGATTTTCATCATATAGAAAAACATACATGTCCTTATGTATTCTTTTGTTCCAATCTTCTTATCAAAAATATTTTCTTTTAAATAGTTTCTTTCTTAACAGAAATCTTGATGTCAACTGCTAAACCAATATTCTTTTTTCTTTCTTCCATATATATGTGCATATATATATATATATATATATATATATATATATGATTATGCCTAGGTCCCCCAAAAATTTGTGACAAAACTGAGAGGAAGCATCCAGTGTATTTTGACTATTCAAGATCATTTCCCTGATTTAGTCTTTGAAACTCAGATTCAGTCTATATATACAACTGATGCACTCAGTTAAATAAATCAGCTAGATAAATCAATTGTCTTCAGTAAACAAGCCAAATTAGCATCCAAAAATATTAATTGATTGAATTCACTGATTCATTACACAGACTTGGCCATTTTGTCTAGAGTCAAGGAGTAGAGGGTACATCAACAGTTATTTACTGACTAACACTCGTATTCATCACCCCACAGAATTATATATTTTTAAAATTTGCTTCAGGCTTAGAAACAAATTGTTGGACGTTCACAGAAATGTTGCTGCAAAATGAACGTATTCGTCACCAAACAAGAAACACATAATCAGACCGGCTGAATGCGCCCTAATTAGATCTCAGCCTTGGGTTGACACTGACACATGTGTTATGCCACGTTTTCGGGGAGCTGAAGTCTCATTATATGGGTGGTCGAGGCTATTGCTATTCTGCTATTATAATTTCACCACATTTTTTGAAATGTGCTTCATGTTTCTTTTCTTTAACTTCAGCCAGAGTAAATGAGATGGAATTGTAATTCAAAGAAATGTTTAACATTCAAAAAGTTTGAAATGCATTTCAGCAATGCGTTGAATGTAGCATTGAATAAACAGCCAGCGAAGTCAACTAATTAGAAAAATAATAAAATTGGAGTCTTAACATTCAAGCAAGAGGATCACATTACACCATCTAGTTCATTGTGTGGCTCATTACTAGTGTATTTTTTTCTTCTGATTAAAATAATTGTCAACTTCATCCAAAGTTTTGTAGAGTTCATTCAAGCAACAATAGATAGAGGACACTGAATGTGAACTGGGGAGATCGTCATTTCTGTTGTCTGTTTTCAGGGTGTGCACACATATAGAAAAACTCAAGCACCCTTAAGAGACAAAGGTATGTTCAAGATTGAGGGGCAGATGGACAATTCAACAGAATCTACACATAATAAAGTGAAATGGAAGATGAGGATGATGGCACTATGCAGAAAACAAGGAACCAATGGGCAGAGGGGAGCAAATAAAGAAAAAATGGGCAAGGGTGGAATCGTGTTCCGAACCACTGGACTATGAAAAAAATGCCGGGTCAGACCTCAAGCAGCTGGAAGTGCCAACACTTGTAGACATCATCCTGAGAGGCCAGACACCTGACTGATCAGAGGTGCATGTACTCTCAAGGCTGAACGATTTGATGGATAGCTCCATCCTCATTCTTCGGATTGTTCGTTTCCAACACAGAGGATTTAATTTTAGGAGGGTCTCAGTTTCACCTATAGTACTCTAATGTTTTAGTTAGTTTTTAGTGTTATTTCACATTAACTAAAAAAATCACTGTTAGATCAAATTTGCTTTGCAAATAAACTCAAAGTCTTACATCTTTGTTAATTTACAAGTAAGATAGTAGTTGGCACACACTGCTACATTTTGCTGATTTTTATAGTTTTTTAATAAAAATGAATGAATGGATAGAGATTATTGAGGGATAAGTTTTTATGGAAGAAAAACTAAAAGTCAAAGAGAAGTAAATCAACAATTTCGAGGAGAGATAAGGAAATCACAAGAAAATACTATTAAAATATAGATTTGCATTTGAAAAAATGTCATTCTATATTAGTCAATATTTTGAATTATATATATTATTCTTACAGTTCACAGATGTGGATAATTACTTCAAATTTTTTTTATCTCCAGATACATTGCTTCTCACACATTGTCTTAGCTTTTTCTCCTCTGGAAGGAAGAAAATGGGAGGTGATTGATTGTAAAATAGGTGGTAAACTACAGATTATAGATTTCAACCTGGTACCCAAGTCACCTTCAAAATAGAATGTTCCTATTTCTATACAAATTTTCTGACAAAATGATTATAAGGTGTTCATAGCAGCTTCTAAATTTTGTATATAATTCTTATAGTTTTCAGTAGGTTAAAATGAACTGCAACCTGAGATCCACATTGGAAGCCACTTAAACCGATCTGGTTTATGGTTTGCAAAGGAGGTACCTAAAGATGGCAAAAGCCCCTCTATATAAAAAAAAAGTAGAATTTTGCCAAGTGAATAAATAAGCTACAGAAAATCTGTAGTTTTGTCTTATGTAAAAGTAGGAAATCTGCTTCAAATTCCCCTATTTAGCTAAGGATCAAGGTAATGAACACTATGGAGGGATGTATCTTTAATACTTTCTGAGACACTGCACAAACATGAAATATTTACGAGAGTTTTGCTTTCTAGAGAACCAAAAGACCCTTTGAAATGGCTGCTGACATCTGAAAAATTATGTAATTTCCAATAGTAAGGCCAGTGTTCAGCTTATTTGGTCACTGACTCTTTAGAAGATTGGTATTAGGTACAGCACATCAAGGCAGCACCAAGCAAGGAAGACTAGAAGATGATCCAATGCTCATGGAGTCTCCTAACTTCTCCATGGACCTTGTGGGGCACAGCTAATCATGAACTGGTAATATTATGACCATATTAAAATCTTAGTAGACACAAATATACCACAAATAGTCTCTTACTTACTATAGTACACATTTTCTTCTGTAAGAAGTAGTTACACTTTTTTGTTTTCTTCATCCTTTACTTGATACCTAGGTAAAAACTACATGACAACTGCCAATCATTGGACACATTCGAGACAGTTAACATGCTGGGTTGACTGATTTGACAGCTTTTTGCAAACTGTCAGCTTTGTGACTTTGGGGTGGTAATGTGAATTCCCTCAATGTCCCTGTCTCTTTATTAGTGAAATGTAACTGCTCTTTGAAGTCTTTCAGACTCTAGTTCTCGGAGTATGGAAGTTTTCTAGGGAAACTGCAAACAACATAAACAGGGAGAGTATCTATTATAAATTGGGAGAGCCCTGTATTCTGCACTTCGACCATGGAGCTACCATTTTAAAATATTAAAAGATTATCTGAATGAGTGTTAAAGTTTTTCCTACCTGGCATCATAGTGTTGTGTGACAGAACTTGTGAACCATGGTTTGTATTCTCTGATAGCTCAGTTGCAAATGATTAAAACAAGATCTACAATGCACCTACAAGTACAGGCAGCAGTGGAATATCCTAGAAGATTCAAGAAAAGATCTAAGCCTTTCAGGTAGACAGTGAATCCATGAGGAATTCAGTGATACATAAAGAAGACGTTAGCAGGGAAGGACAGGAAGGAGTAGTCCAGGAAAGTAATTATGTGGAAAAGTGAAAGGCAGAATAGGAAAGAAAACAAATAATGTCAGGTAAAGGAGTGAAAATGGGTTTTATGGAGCCATAGTTAGAAGAAATGCTGTCCAGATACCACTAGCCATTCAGGAATAAGTGTTAAGATTTTAAAAAATCAAAGGAAGATTTCTTAGGTTGTAGAGGTAAATTTGGAGGAAAGCAATTTAGCTGAGGTTATTAGCTGGGATGCAGCATGGATGGAGACACACAGCTATGAGGAAGTGTGGCAATCAGGCTTGACATTATTTTGTGAAATCTCGATGAGGAAATAAAACATTGGGCCATTAATATAGCCCTTTTGACTTCCCTTTTAAAGTGAAACCTACTATATTGGCACTTAAGACAGTATCCCCCCAACCATAGGCCTTGGTCTTCTGACCTGTGTGGCACCAGATCACTCAGCAAGAGGTGAGCAGAAAGCAAGGGATCTAAGCTTCATATGTATTTCCAGGTGTTTTTCACAGACATTGCCACCTGTAATCCATCTCCTGTCAGGACAGTGGGGGTTTTAGATTGTTGTAGCACAGACTTTACACAGGAGAAGGGACTAGATTGTATGCACCTTGAAATCGTCCTGAAAGCAAACATCCCCCTTCAACCCTGTGTCAGCAGAAAACTGTCTTCCAGAAAATCAATTGCTGGTACCACAAAGTTGGGGAGCACAGATCTGAACGTCGTTAGTTTCTTATTCGCTATTCAGGAAGCATATTTTAGCTTCTATGTTAAAGCAATGGGTTATATATTATGGAATGGAACATTATTCTATAACCTCCTGGTGTCCAGTGATAAGTAGATAATAAGCCCAGTTAAGATCACTTTCCTAACATAACTGAATTTTTGTTTTCTATCATAAAGAAATCAAGTATTTTATTGTTTCTATTTGCCTATATATAAATAAATTATTAATTTGTTCTATGTGCCTGGACTAGACAAATAATCCAAAGGAAAAATATTTATAAAATAAGCTACTCACATACTGCTTTCCCTAAATAGTGCCCGTGATTTCATTAGTGATAATAACTCAGGGAATCACTGGGAAAATAATAATAAACCTATTTTATTTGTTTGGATCAAATAATAATTTGTCAAAAATCTTCCAACCAGATATATTCAATATTATATCCGGTTATGGCTGTGGGATATTGAAAAAATATAGAGAAGATGATTTATAGAAGTTGAAAATCTTAAATATGTTCATTTCTGAATGCTGGTGACATGCCTTCATGATAGCAAGGGAACGTTCCCCAATGACACAACTCGGCTTTATAAAGGTGAATGAAGCAATGCATTAGGGTGGAAAATTAACTAGCAGTAAGGAAAAGTTTGAACTAAAGGCCTTATTCAGCCTCTGAAAATGGGAATAACATGGAAATGTTATGATAATATTATTACTAAGCAGCTGACAAGTAATAAAGAAGGGGAAACACAGGTTGGTAATATTTTTCTCATTGTAGATCAGAATAATTAAATGCTTATAAAGGTTTAATAATTTTCTCAACAAGGGCTGGGGATTTAGCTCAGCAGTTCAGTGGTCTGCCTTGCAAGCACAAGGAGTCGAGTTCAATCCCTGGTACCAAAATATATCAAAATCTAAAATCCAAATTCTGTGTCCTCACCCAGTTTAAAACCTATAAAGAGGGCCGTGGATTTAGCTCGGTGGTTCCACCTCCTGCCTTGCAAGTGCAAGGACCTGAGTTCGATCCCCAGTGACAACAAAACAAACAAACAAACAAACAAAAATACCTATAAAGAAATGTTCAAAGTTTAATCTTAGAATAGTTTTCAGATATGATCAATTTCTGTCTTGAGAAAATTGGTCACCTTTGCTTGAGTGAGTGTGTGTAGGTGAGTGTGTGTGTGTGTGTGAGTGTGTGTGCGGGTGTGTGGTGAGTGAGAGGGTGTTACTGCCACATATTCTGACATTTCCAGCTAGATTGGAATGCTTTGTCAGCTTACTAAATTTTGGAACTTGGGAATGGAAATTGGTAAGAAAACATAGCCTTCTTTTAAAAGGTCCTACTGCCATGAGACATATGTAGGACTAGAAGAGAAAAGCAAACAAATCTACATACAACAAACAGTGAAGACAGCACCAGATAGAAACTGAACTCCAAGTTGTTTGGAAATTTGATTGAGGGGAGGATAAAATTCTGTGAATCAGATTTAGACTCCAAGTTGTGGAAATTTGATTGAGGGGAGGATAAAATTCTGTGAATCAGATTTAGGGATCCCAATGATACACTAAATACTACATTTCTTGCCTCAAACCTTCCGTAAGATCTATTGGTTGATCAGCCTCATCAGCATTCTGAGACTAGCAAGTGACCTAATCCCATTTTTTCTTTTATTCTCAAGGTTATGATTGGAGTGGCCATGTTACCATGATACTTCTCTTTGTACACTGATTAGTTTTCTGGGTATGGATGACCTACTGGATCTAAGCTACTCCTCACAGCAGGGAAAGTTTAACCAAAGGATATATGATAGTTGCCAGGTACTGGATTATTTCCAGTGTTTTACTTAACAGCTAAAGAATGTTTTTCACTTCTTACCTTGCTATCTTAACTAGATGTGAGTTAATTCTGATGAGTGAAGTCATTAATCTTGTGTCAGGTCTGTGTTTCTTTGGTATATCTTGCCCTCTAACCTCATGAAATTTAAGTTGAAATTGCCCATCTAAATTTAGGGGGAGACTCTAGTCAAATTGAATCTTTATTTTTTTCTTCTCCAAGTGCCTAATCTCCATGCATTCCTCTTCTCTTCCTTGTACTCAGACTGTATAACTTGTCTTGGATCATTTATCTCAAGTTGGGCTTCTTGACCTTGGCGATCCAGTTTCTTTAGAGATTTCATAGTATGTTTGGATAAAAATCGTGAATGCAATGAAAATTAACTCTTCTCATAATATTCTCCCCCATGAATGGTGAATAGGCTTTGATCCAATGTCTGAAGTTTTAGATTTGCTGCCCAAGTAAAAAAGAACAAATAATTACTGCTTTTGTACTGATTCCAGGTTCTGAATATTTTCTAAATTACTTAAGTCCCACACTCCACTACAACATCTGACACTGACTCTCATCTAAATATCGACCAGCTCTTTCAATGAGCTACTTCCATTAAAAGTCTCAACACCCTCCACATTTTTCACCAACAACTGTGATTGATCTGCAAAAAAAAAAAAAAAAAAAAAAATGTCAAAATACTTTCAACTGAGGCAAAGACTGAATAGTATCTGCCTAGACACTTATTGCAAAGGTCTCACACAGGCACAATTTGCATGTGTTTTGAGTAGATAGGTCATTGTCCAGGTGAAAGGAAAAATTAAAACTGCAGTGATAACATACCTTGTACTTCTGTGCTGATAGTCTACAATAGAGTTCTGAAGAGAAACCAAATAAATAGGCTGTATACACTGGGGTATGTGTGAGATTTATCATATTTTCTCACATGATAATGCCGGTTGAGGAGTTCCAGAATCTGTCATATGCAAGTTGAGGAATCAGGAAAGCTGGTTGATAATTCAGTCCCAATATGAAGGGCCATGAACAGGAGGAAGGGTGTATGTATGGGAGTGGAACATTGCATATGTCTTGGGCCAAGTCTACACACAAGACAATTAACTGTAGCTATGACTCAGGTGAGAGAGACAGAGAGTTCAAAAGAGAGCAAAATTTGCTTCATTTTTGTCTTTTTGTTCTTTTTGGAAACTCAACTGATTGGGTAATGTCCACCCATATTGATAAGTGTGAACTTATACACTTAATTTACCTATTCAGTTGCTAATCTTTCCTGTTGTTTTTGCTTGTGTCTAGATGTCTCCTCACAGCCTCATGAAGTCTTTTTCAGAGATGGCTGATCTAGAATGTGTGATTGATTCATGACTCAAATCTGGGATTAAAGGTGTGTGATTACTAAAACAATCCACTGATTGGTTTGACAACACTCTCATCCCAGTAGCCTAAATAGAGTATAAAAGATGCTGAAAAGATGCTAAAGCCCCATGTTACTTTTGCTACCATGTGGGACCATGAACTCCTCTCTGCCATGCACACTGCCTTGGAGCCAACTGACTGTGCACTGAAATCTCTACAAATTGTGAGCTAAATAAACCTTCCCTTCTTTAACTTTGGATGTTGAGTATTTTGTCTCAACAATGATAAAAGTAACTAAGACACCTGCAGATACCCTCACTGACATAACTGGAAAGAAGAGGCTGTGTATCTAATTAAGTCAATCATATTGACAATGAAATTATCCAGCATATAGCAAAACAATACTACAAATGTATAAGATTGGAAATACTTCAAGAGTTCATAAAAACTATACTGACGGTAATGACTCCTTTCTTGAAAGTCATAGATCTCTGGGTGTTACAATTTTGAAAAATGAAGTACTTCACAAACACGGAAACCAAGTAAAGGTTAATTACTTCCCCAAAACTACACAAGGAGTGAAAGGAAGACCTGAGAATCAATCCAACTCTAAGCTTTTCTGAGAAAGACTCAAGAAAGGAACTCAATGCTGAATTTAAAGAGGCATATGATTGGAAGTGCTTAAAAGTATGATCTAAATGAATATGATTTGAACTCATATGGCTTTGTCAAAATTAATCAATCACATGTGCCAGTCAATTCTCATTCAAATGGAAGAGACCAATGTGTGATTTATTGAACAATCTGTTATTTCTACTAATTCCATTAGGATTCTAATGGTAAGTACTACTTGTCTACTACAGCAAAAATCTGGAAACGTGTGAGCACTGTGTCTGAGGGAAATGTGGCCTCAGGTGACTAGAGAAGAAAAGACACCCCTTTTCAGTATAGAACCAATTAGTTCTTACCCTCACTACTTCCTCATGTACAAATGACTTTTTTCCTATTCTCCAGCTGTTATCTGTTTTTCAGTTTGCAGTTTCTCTAATGAGGTATTTGGTACTTAATCTTTCAGAATAATGAATGAGTCATTCTCTCTGCAAAGGTGGCTCCTATCCTGGGAACACTGTGGCAGCTCCTCTCAGGATTCCGCCTTTTTGTTTGTCAGTATTCTATGAGGCCACCTTCCTTGAGCGTGTCTGACATTGAGATTCCATTGTCTCACAAAGATGGAGTATCTAGGGGATGGGAAGGCTGTAAAACCGCACTTCACCCCAACTAACAGGAAGGATTAGAACCATATGTTATGTTCTCAAGAGCAAAATTAATGGTGTAGACCATTCTATAAATTAGACTTATCAGTTTGAAACAAATTCTTAAATTTCTAAAATGCCCATCTGAACACTTTAAACTAGTCCTTACCTATGTACTGTATATGCTAACTATAATTTTATTTAAATAAAAATAAATTAAAATTTAAAAATTATTTATTTTCTCAGTTGCTAGAACAGTACCTTATACTTATGTGTCAGCCTATATTAGACAATATAAAGATCAGTCATATTCTAATTCACAAATGACATGTGTGAATAGAGGGTTACAAAATTAGAGTATACCAATAACAGAATATTTCTACCATATCATAGATAGAATTCTTCTAGCCTACTAAATAAATAAATTTAACATGTTCAATAAATATTCTAGTAATTACTTTAAGAATATAGCTATATAATTAATAATCAAAATTATTATTCACAAGCATAAATCATTTAAAATCATATCCTTACTTCCATGCGTTTAAATAATAAATAATTAATGCAATTCCCAGGCTAAATAATTCCAGTGTGCACAACAGAGAAAAGCAATTGCCCATTTCTCCACTGTGTTCACAAAGTGAGATTCAGTAAATCCTCTCTTGTGCTGAATCATGAGGTATAATCTCAGATTCACTTGTATCCCTGTAACCTGATGAATTCAATAATAAAATTAATAGAGAGTTTTGGAATCTGCATTTAACAAGCTCTCCAAGGTTTTCTTCCTCACATGGCAATTTGAGAGTATTTACCATAAAGTCAGAAAGAAACCTTGAATTCTTTTTATTTGTCAAAAGAAGACAGTTAGACTTTATGGCTTTGGATTTTGACTGAGCTACAACTATGTTGACCGTGGGTGGGTTGCTTTCACAGGGGAGGTCTCCTTTCATATCACTAGTGAGCTATGGCTGTATCTTATACCCTTGAGTGAGGGGAGGTCTCCTTTCATATCATTGGTGAGCTATGGCTGTGTCTTATGCCCTCGAGTGAGCTCCAAGCAGAATAAATAGTCGTGATTACTTAGACTAATTACATTTCATCACAGGGTAGGAGATAAACCAAGGAGTGTATGATCGTTCAATATTAAACAAGGTTAGATATCTTCAGCAAGAAGAAAAATAGGGCTATTCTCAGGAAGCGACAGGGAGCATCTGGCAGATAATCTTGCTTGGTACTCGAATATGACTTATGGCTGAACTTTCCCAACATCATAACATAAGAATATAGCAAACTTCAGAACTATTTAAAATAGTTCACCAAGTCATCATACCTTGATGGTTAGAGATTTACAGTTAGAGTCGTTGTCTGATCAGCCCTCATGCCTTTCCCCTATAGTGGCCTCAGGAACTGCCATTAGCTTGTAGTCCTCTTTTTATCACAATGTGGTTACCTTTGCTCATATCCTTTCCTCTCTCTTCTTGTACTTTATGTTAGGACATCCTCTCTGTGTATCCTCCACATCTAGTCTCTCTGTTATTCCCTTACTATGAGGCTCAAAAATATACACTCCATTTTTGTTTTCCCCTCTCTCCTATATTAGCAAACATGGTGGGATTTTAAAATTAGCAATTTGATATTAGCTATTAACCATACAAATGGATAAGTCTATGCTGTATGTATTTAGGAAATATGTTTTTTCTACAAACATGATAAAATTTAAAAAGAACCAATGCTTCTTTTATTATTTAAGCGTAGGGAGGATTTTGCTACTAGAAGATTGACAATGAGGAAATCACACTGCAGACTTTTGAAGAAGCAGTGGGAGTCTCAAATGTGAAAACACATCGTCATAAAAATAAGTGAAGCTAATACCCCAGGAGTTAGAACCCCCTGGTCCATGATAGTTTTTGCAACGTTCTGGCTGCATTTCAAAACCTTGTATTTATGAGCTTGCTCTCAGCTTTCCAGATGTCCCAGGCGACAGCCTAAAAGCAAGATGATAGCTTCAGGTGGGGAATGAGGAGCAGATGGGGATGGTCACTTAAGGCGTGGGGTCCTGTTATCATCACCATGTATTTGATTCTTTAATTATTAAGGAATGAGGGTAGAGAAATTAAGGGAATGTAATGAGCATTTGCAAATAGGCTGTGTTTTCGCAAAGTGCCCATGAGACAGCACCTGTTCTTGTTACATTCTCTATTGCAAGGTTTTGGTTCATTTGTTCCTGCTTGTTTCAAACTATTTCTCTTAATTTTGATAATAAGTGTTATATTGTCCTCACAAAGGCCAACTTCCCTGTAGGCTCCCCACTTGACTAACTGTACAGCATTGTAAATTGTCTACAATAAAAATGACAACCATTTTGGGATGAGTCATTTTAAATCTTTTGTCTTCATCTAATTGGAAGGTAGAGATAATATCAAGATTAATTGGGGACTCAAGCTAGCTCAAGGACAGGGAAGAATGTCCAAATAGATTGTATGAGGTACAAATTGTAGTTTGGATAACTGCGTGGGTCAACTTGTACGAAACATTGCAAATGGTGCTATAACAACCAGGACAAGTATTTCAGTCTCCAAAATCTCATAACCTCCCACTACTACATACATGCAATGTAATCAATAGTGTGACTACCCTTTACAAAGTTTACACTCCTGCCAGGGGAAAAATGATTTACAGTGCGGATGCAAGACTGCTGAAGGACAGGCATACGACATGAGCAAAACTCACGGGCATCCTGGATACAACAAGAAAGCGACTTTTGCACATGTGGAAGTTTGTTTGATTATAATCACAAAAATGCATTGTGGAGCTCAACTGACTCATCAATTGAAATTATACTCAATGTTTAAAAACTGGGAGAGCCTTGACTTTTTCAAAGACATTTGATATTTGCTAAGGAAAATGTTATATTTTTTTGACATTGTTCTCATGAAGCATTTTTTGTACTAAAATTCAAGCTTACTATGACATATATTTTGATCATTAAACTCCCCTAGTTAATTTATTATATAAATTTTGGAAACAGTAACAATGAAAAAGAAAAAAAAAAAGAAACCTATCATTTCTTAACATATATTACCAGGCCTTTCAATACCCCATGGAACCTAGAAAACAGAGATTATCAAAGTACAGCCTAGAACTACTCTTTAACAAAGTTTTGCCGAATGACAGCCAGACCTGTTAATTTACACATTTTCTATACCTGCCTTTATGTTACATTAGGAGAAATGAGCAGAGAATTGAAGGAGTTTGTACTTTGAAAATCCTAATATATTTACTGTTTAGACATTTACAGAAAAATTTCCAAGTGACGTTATAGTTAGCAGTGCATGCCAGTGTGTTATGGTGTGAAGTTCCTTCCAAACCCACACTGAAATGTAATTGTCACTTTTAAGGTACAGTTAGGTCACTAGGCACTAACCTCAGAGGGTGTTAATGTCTTTGAGGAGCTTAGACATCTCCAGAGTGGGAATCGCTCTGGACGAAAAGCCCATTTTCACACGTGCTTTCTTGTCACCTCTCTCTCATTTCCTTTTTCCCCTGTGGTGTCCTTTACTGGCTTATGATGCAACAAGAAGGCCCTCGCTCATGTGTCCTCTCAATCTTGGACTTTCCAGTGCCCAGCACATGAGCCAAATCAACTTGTTTATAATTTACATAGTGGTAGTATATTACAGCAGCAGAAGTTTGGCTAAGGCACAATGCTATCAAGAAAGGCAATTGAGGCAACTATTTTCTCTCACTCACTCTTCTCACTCTGACTCCTCTCCCTCTCTCTCTCTCTCTCTCTCTCTCTCTCTCTCTCTCTCTCTCTCTCTCTCTACTCTCTCTGCAGGCTTCAATTCTCATTTCAGATCCTTCCTGCTTCATGGGGATCCACTTTCCTCCTTCTTCTCTTCCTCACCTTGCTGTATTCCAGCATCTGTACACCAAATATCACATAAGCTGTTTCTCTGCTGTTCACCACTGCTCCATCTTCCCAGAAGTCCACTTTTTATATATTTTTGCTCTTGTTCTTTGCTTATTCATTTTCCTAACAAAGAACTCTGAATAGCATTCTATGAAGTTAAGTT